AAATGCTGCTTGTAAGCCTGTAGTACCTTGTAGCGCTCAGAAAAATGGCCAGGCGGTGTCACCGCCTTTGATTTTCTTTTGATCTCGAGGCCTTCTTCATAGGCTTCTTGCCGTCAGTAATTTACATCGTGGGTGGATACCGTATAGGAAAATTTTATTTATTATGAATGAATATCATTATTGTAATCATAATTTTATTCATTGAAAATAATCTTGGCGCCTAGGGGGTCTATAAACCATGGTTTCGAGGTGTGTATTAGTAATGTAAGACCTTCGCCCCTCGATGTCTGCCCTCGGCTTCGCCTCGGGCAGACATCTCGGGGCTCAGGTCTTACATTACTGATACTCACGGAGAAACCATGGTTCATATAATATGTGCTATATTTACTGTAAGATCTATGGGATCTACCAGGGACGGATGCGCATTTTGCTCGTTTGCTGGGAGATCAAACTCTATCCCTCTCTTTTACTTCTTGACAGAACAATAAAGGCCTTCTTGGAACTTCTCTGTAGCATTTATCTCTGCACGAGCTTTATTTTCGTCAATACAGTGGCGAACGGCTGGGTCTAGCCTACTACTATGCTGCCATTTTCTGCCACGTGCTGGATACTGAGCGTGCACAGATCACTCGTGCATCTCATTACAGATAAACTCACCCAATGAATTTACGTACTCCAATGAATCTCATTATCTTGCAGTGAATAACTTAACTGGCAGTGGTTAGGTGTACATGGCCTATGTACCACCTGGCGGTCCCTTTGATCTTACAGTAACTATGGTACATATTTAGTTAATCACTTTATGTTTCATTATCAAGCATCATAATATAATACTTACCAGTTCTTTCCATTTTCTTTTGTTAATGTCCAGTAACCATACATCATAGACATCATATCCACCGACCACTAGTAAGTGTGGTCCTGAACTAGTGGTAATCAGTACACTGGAATGACCCCACCTTTCCTTAGGCCATTGTACTGATCCTCCAGGATTAGGTACTTCTAATATATCCTGAGAAAATAATAAAATAAACTTTAATTGTAAATCTACAATTTGCAATCAAATAAATCTCACAATCAAAACCCATCCTACAATATTAACTCACAACTGATGTCTTAGTAAAACTTATCATATACAGTTTATTACTGACTCCATTATCAGTATAGCCTCCAAACATTACCGCAGTGTTATTAGTAACTGGTGTTAGAGTGAAGGAACTAATAGGAGGTGGTCTGTCTCCAGTAACAACAGGAGATATCCATTGATCTAATAATAATGTACAAACATTCATGTACACTTACTTACCACATACACACACATACATTATACACATTCATCATACATATGTATGTGTATATGTGTGTACATTATTATTTATACATACACATCATGCATAGACACACATCACATGATACACACACACACACACACACACACACACACACACACACACACACACACACACACACACACACACACACACATAGATACACTCATGTATGGATACACACACCACACCTGTACCCATGAAGGAGAGGTCCAGGGGGTCTCCTTATTTCAAGATTACTAATCTATTCTGGTACATGTCAGTTATGATTGTTAATGAATAATTATACAAAACTCATGGAACATTGTATGTGGGTAATTTGTGACTCATGTGATACAGAACTTTATTAAAAATGATAATAAATAACATGAACCTACACACACACACTCATGTCACATTAGCTTATGTATAGATACATGTACATATACAAACATCACACACACACAGATACATGATAATACTCACACACACATAACATGCACATTATAGATACACGTCACATACACATGTCATACATTCAAAAATTCTCACATACATTATATGCACTATCATACACAGACACATCATAATGTATGTATTAGTACACACACACACACGTCACATATAGACACACGTCACCATCACACACAAACACATGACACACAGAGACACACTAACAAACACACTTAATTATTAACAATCTGTTTTATGTACATTAATATAAATTATTCAGTTTGAAATACTCATCAACTATTGTGTATCAATGATGAGAATTACTGACCTGATGAAATCCTGTAATAATGTATCTCATTACATCTACCATCAGCTGAATACTGAGCATCAGGTTGCTTTGGAGGATTGATAGAAGATGATCCCCTGCTTCCTCCAATTACTACAAGATAGTTTTTATCGTCAAAATGAGGTGAGACCATTCCACAGTAGCCCTTCTTCATTGGACCATGATCAGAACTAGAAGGAGAGAGTTCCCTCCACTTCAATGAATCCACATTAAAACAATGTAAGCTGTTTTCATAACCACCATCATCACGTCCACCAAAATAATATATGTCCTTCCCCATAGCTACTGTTGAATAGCCAAAGGTACCTGTTGGTGGGGTGCCAGTAGTAGGTTTCTGGTCCCAAGCACCAGTTGGTAAGTGATACACCTCCATTATATCATAGTGTATTCTAGACCCGAGCCCACCCCACATATATAGGTAGTCTCCTACCTTTACTGTGGAGTGTCTCTCTCTCTCCACTGGTTGATAGTCTATAGAGAACAAGAGGTACCAGTAACAGAGTAACAGTAATATAGTGATGAGTTAGAATAAGGACAGGATATAGAGGAGTAAAGTAAGTGAGAGAGTAAGAGAGACAAAGAATGAATCAAAGAGATACAAAGAGAAGAGAATAGTGGCCCTCACTTTTAGATGCCATTCTTGCAAAATACCAGCCCCACCCAAACTAGATCTATCACGGGTGTTTATTGTGCGCATAAAGTCATAATTAGAACATTAATTTTGATTTACGGAATCCCTTAAAAATTATCAGGAAGATGCTCCTGTTTTGGGCCGGATGTTTGAAGTGGCCTATTGTTCAGAAGACAGCCCATAACACTGATTTACAACCACAAGGAGATAGGGGAAAGCCAATAGTACAATTTGTAGTATAATACGCACAAGTTACATGATAAGACAACTACTGCGCATCACCAGTACACAGTGCTCCAATTCAATGGTGGCTAGATGGTCTCTCTTCTGTGAGCTCCCCTCAAGACCATGAAGTTTTCCTAGTGATGTGGGATAC